AATGATCTAGGCCAAAATGTATAGAGAGAGAGTGTGTGTGTGTGTGTGTGTGTGTGTTTTTTTTTAGAGAGAAAGAGTCAAAATCTAGGTTTTTAAAAAGTTTTAGAGAGAGAGAAGAATGAAAAAGTGATATAAAATGTCACTTTCGCGATCTAATATGTGCACAGTCTGCTCCAGCGGAGAAGTTAACGCTCGAGCGTCAGAGTCAAACACAAAAAGTTATTTCGCTCAAGCGCAAGATGCTACCCGCTCAAGTGCAGAATACACATATCCAGTACTTTTGCAGACAACAGACAAACCGCTCGAGCGTAAGAAAGGCCGCTCGAGTGCCCATTCGCTTGAGTGTAGGAAACGCCGCTTGAGCATGAAAAACACCCCTCTTGTACTTTTGTAGCTGTGTAAAGTATTGAGAGTTTGTAAATCCCGCTCGAGGGCAAGAAGTGACGCTCGAGCGGAGGAGCAAAAATTACAAAGTCCGCTCGAGTGCAAGAATGGCCGCTTAAGCACAAGAGCAAAAATATGAACAACAAAGGTTTGGAAAAACAAGCAACTAACCTGTTCTAAATGCACAACTACAATTCAATAACCAAAATATAGGGGAGACAAGAGAAATAAGATATGAATCACCATTCAAAACCATACAAACCCGAGTTCGGAATACAACAAGTGATTGGTCAAAACCGGAATCGCTATAAAGGGTAAGAGTTGTATGCTTGCTCCATTGTTGATGTGTACCACCATCTCCCAACACCACCACCATTTTGGCTACTATTATCATTGCCACCATTGTTTCACTATTGGATTAGCTTAAGCTAGACTATGAGTTCGTTTGAAAAGTGGGTTAATTTTTTGATTTTTTGACTATTTTAGCCTAGGGTTAAAAAATTTTATTTGTGATAGATTTGTTGACTTTTTTAAATTTTTGTAAGAGAAAGAATATAATAATTATGGGTTACATGTTTTGTTTTATTAAATTAAAAAATCTATTTTATCTTTTTATAACTAAAATAATCCCAAACCCAACCTAACCATTCTTCTCAAACGACTACTATAAAAGATTTTTTAGTTCGCATCTATCTCTTAGATTGCTAATACTATGTATGATTTGACTCAAAGCAAATAAAATTTATAGTCTTGTGGATGATATTGCTTCCAAAGTTATTAGACTCATAGATTAATTGACATTCCTTGATATAATTATAAAACAATAAATACTCCCACCCTGTCTCATCTTATATCTTAGGATTATAATAAAAAAAGAATACAAATACTCTTATGATATTATTGATCATGTCCATTATCCTATGTGATAACTGATGTAGGGATTGTTTGAAATGATCTAAATAAGTATACTTTTTAACTTTTTATAAAATATGAGTTGGGTATGAGTTGGGTTTAAAGTGATGTGATAGAGAGATGATATAACTTAAAGAGAAACTTACTGATAAGTCTCATATACAAAATTCAAGACCCAGCTAATCCTCAAACAAAACACTTGCACCAATTAGTCCTATACATTTTTAATTGTTACCAAAAAATTCTATTTTTTTTTTTTTTAACTTTACAGACACTGTTACATCTTATTACCGTCGAATTTCCGTCAAACGGTCGCCAGAGACTCGTCGAAATGTTCAACATCACCGGGAAGTCGCCGGAGTATCGCTGGGAAGTCGCCGGAGTTTCGCTAGAAGTTCACCGGAGTATTAAGAACGTTAATGGAAGTCGCCTGAATGTTCAGAATGTTCACTGGACGGTAAGAATATCACTAGAGACTCACCGGAATGTCTAGAATATTGCCGGAAAAAAGAAGAATAAATGGAGAAATTAGAGTAAAAAAAAATAGTAAAATGTGTTAAATATTGATAAACTAAAAGGAAAAAAAATGAAACGACAAAAAACAACAACAATGGGAAAAACATATGTTATTTTTCAATTTTTGTAAAGTTTAAGCAAATAATCTCCAATATTAATCAAACTGAAAAATAAGTTTTAAAACTGTAAAATGTTACAATTTCAAAACAAAAATTTATTAAGCATTTATCCTTATTAATCAAACTGAAAAACATGTTATGAAACTATAAAATTTTACAGTTCTAAAGAATGTTATGAAACTGTAAAATTTTACAATTTTATACCATGATTCATTCCAGCACCAAAAAAATTTGAAACTGCAAAATTTTACAATTTTTACCACCTGTAACTAAAACTCGAAAACTACTTATTCAAAATTTGAAAATTTTCTCCATTAGAACAAAAAAAAAAGAAGTGTATAGCAGAGAAAATATATAAAAAAAAATAAGAGATTGTAGGAGAAAGGCGGATATAGAGAGAGGATTGCACTCCGACAATTATTTTTTGCTTAGATCTAGCCAAATCTGATGTAGATCTACTCAGATCTGATATAGATCTATATTAGATCTAAGCAGATCTACTCATTTTCTTCGTCGGAAATATATCTTTTTCGCCGTCGGTGAGGGTGAAGTCACGAGTTGATTTCGATGGTTGGTGCATGTCCATTATCCTATGTGATAACTGATATAGGGGTTGTTTGGAATGATCTAAATAAGTGTACTTTTTAAGTTTTTATAAAATATGAATTGGGTATGAGTTGGATTTAAAGTGATGTGATAGAGAGATAATATAACTTAAAGGGGAACTTACTGATAAGTCTCATATACAAAGTTTAAGACCCAGCTAATCCTCAAACAAAACACTTGCACCAATTAGTCCTATACATTTTTAATTGTTACCAAAAATTCCTATTTTTTTTTTTTTAACTTTACAGACACTGTTACATCTTATTATCGTCGGATTTCCGTCAAACGGTCGCCGGAGACTCGTCGGAATGTTCAACATCACCGGGAAGTCGCCAGAGTATCGCTGGGAAGTCGCCAGAGTTTCGCCAGAAGTTCACCGGAGTATTAAGAACGTTAATGGAAGTCGCCGGAATGTTCAGAATGTTCACTGGACGGTAAGAACATCACTGGAGACTCACCGGAATGTCTAGAATATTGCCGGAAAAAAGAAGAAGAAGAAATGGAGAAATTAGAGCAAAAAAACATAGTAAAATGTGCTAAATATTGATAAACTAAACGGAAAAAAAATGAAACGACAAAAAACAACAACAATGGAAAAAACATATGTTATTTTTCAATTTTTGTAAAGTTTAAGCAAATAATCTCAAATATTAATCAAACTGAAAAATAAGTTTTGAAATTGTAAAATGTTACAGTTTCAAAACAAAAATTTATTAAACATTTATCCTTATTAATCAAACTGAAAAACATGTTATGAAACTATAAAATTTTACAGTTCTAAAGAATGTTATGAAACTGTAAAATTTTACAATTTTATACCATGATTCATTCCAGCACCAAAAAAATTTGAAACTGCAAAATTTTACAATTTTCACCACCTGTAACTAAAACTCGAAAACTACTTATTTAGAATTTAAAAATTTTCTCCATTAGAACAGAAAAAAAGAAGTGCATAGCAGAGAAAATATATAAAAAAAAAATAAGAGATCGTAGGAGAAAGGCGGATATAGAGAGATGATTGCACTCCGACAATTATTTTTTGTTTAAATCTAGCCAAATCTGATGTAGATCTACTCAGATCTGACATAAATCTATATCAGATCTAAGCAGATCTACTCATCTTCTTCGTCGGAAATATATCTTCTTCGCCGTCGGTGAGGGTGAAGTCACGAGTTGATTTCGATAGTTGGTTGTTACCGGTGAATCTCGATCAATGGTGGTCGATCACTCATAACTATATATTAGAAAGAGAAAGAGAATAAGAATGACGTGATCACCGGTCGTCGTCCATGACAAAGAAGATGAGAGAAAAATACAGAAAAAAAGAGAGAGGAAAACGTAAAGAGTGAGATAAAAAGTAGAGAGAGAGGAAAAATAAGACTTTTGAGTCTACTCAAAAAGTTATTGGATTAAATAGTGTACACATATTTTAAATAGGACTTGTAAATAATTTTTCCTAACTTAAATAGGATAATATAACTTAAATAAGAAAATAATTTTTTAACTTTTTTAAATTAGGACAAATCAAGCTTACACGTAGTCATATGGTAAAAGTCCAAACCCGGATTCAACAGCATGACACGTTGGCAACAGTCACATGGGTTGCCACCTAAGCATTCACATCAAACCAAATTTAACTTCAAAATAAATTCAACAGTGATAGTTGATTCAAAAAACCATAATTCCAATAATTCAAAACAACCAAAACGAAATTATTTTAAATATAAAACAACATTATTTTAACGCATTCGAAATATTTAAATCACAAAAATTCAAGTCCCAAAACATTTTCTAAATAAATTATTTGCAGTGCCGCGGACTCCAATCGCGGTAGTACCACTACTCACGCCAAGCGTGTGCCCACTGATAGAATTTCCTCGATATTTACGATATTTACAGTTTTCCTCAGTCGTATCTCAAGCGCGTAAACACACGACCATGTACTGTCCGTCCGTACGCAAAACCTCCACCATAGGCGCGTGGATATGATCGAACCATATCTTATACAAAAAGATGAGGGCCACCATATTCGACGCCGAATCAAAAATTCCGGAGCTTCACCCTTTTGTCAGGTGTGTATCACGTGATCCGGGCCCATCCGAGTGGATCATATCAAGCCACGGCAGCGAATCAGAATCTGCTTACAATCCTCGCGACACGTGGACGACACGTCACCTACTTCAACGGAAGCTTACAAAAATATCTTCAAACCGAACCAAAACAAGCTCACCTACGCACCACAGAACCTATTGTTCCTTCCCGACCCTACACGTGGCACTCCCTCTCACCATTGGCCAGGCTCGGACTTTTGCTGTTGCCGCAAAACCCTAGGCTTGGACAATTCTTATCACCTTGTTGAATGACAGTTTTACCCCTCACTGTGTCTGAGAACAGAAACGTAGTTTCGTAATTTGGCGAAGACGGACGGGTGTTTCATACGCGACTGCAAGTTCATTCTTTTCTCGCAACTCTCTCTCTCTCTCTCTTCTTGTTTGTCGTCGTTGTTCTTTATTCTTCTTCTTCTTCTTCTTCTTCTTCTTCGTTTCGTTTGGTGGAGTAGCAGAACAGAGAGAAGAGTGTGTTTGTGTGGTGGTTTTGAAGATGAAGAGGTGTGAGCTGTGCAAGTTGACGGCGAGGATGTACTGTGATTCGGATCAGGCGGACCTGTGCTGGGACTGCGACGCCAAGGTTCACTCCGCGAACTTCCTCGTCGCGAGGCATTCGAGGAGTCTTCTCTGCCACGTGTGCCAGTCGCCGACGCCGTGGAATGCTTCCGGTGCCAAGCTCGGTCCGACGGTGTCGGTCTGCGAGGCTTGCGTCGGCGGCTGTGAGGGAGTGAAGGAGAGTAGAGCCCCGGAGGAAGAAAGCGAAGGAGGTAACGATGCTGATCTTGATACAGATGACGAGTATGATGATGATGATGATGATGGAGACGAAGACGAAGGCGAAGATGATGAGGGGGTTAGTGGAGATGATGTGGACGGAGATAATCAGGTGGTGCCTTGGTCATCGACGCCACCTCCTCCGCCTTCGAGTTCGTCGAGCAGCGAGGACTCCTCGAGCAGGTTCTGTAACAGCGATGGAGCAGTTTCGTTGAAGCGATTGCGCGTTAATGCCGCAGATCTACTCTCCAATGTATGATTTTTCAGTTACTTTCTTATCTCCTCTACTTTGATTTCGTTGTTTCTCCTTGCACAAACAGATCCGATTTTATAATCTTCACAATACTGTTAATATTAGTTTCCTCTTTGAAATTATTGCTAAACTCGTTGAACTTTTTTATTGCTTTGTTTTCTACATCCGGTCATCAGTTTCATAAAGATCGCATTTGTTATAGTGATTCTGCATTTAAGCCTTCAATTGCGGAATTACAGACATTAATATAACTGATAATATTGAAGAAAAAAACCGTACATTTGATGTTGAACGGTGTGGATTTGTTGTTTTCGTCTCACAGGATGATCACGGCTGTTCATCTTGTCACCGGAATACCAGTTCGGCGGCGGTTTTGTCAGCGAGAGATAGAGAGGCCGGTTTTGGTCACTCATTGAGGCCTTTGAAACGCCTAAGAGATGAAGCGAACCGATCCAACCAATCCGCTGGTGTTCAGCTTGAACCGGCCGGTTCGAGAACTGCTGGGATCGTAGAATCGCTGAAGAGATTGCATCAAGAAGACTTGAGCTCTGGCTACAACGCGTCCGCGGCGATTGTTGGGATCTGTAAACTGAGTCAGAATCCAGGAACCGTGGATTTGGATTCGGCCAAGTCAGCGTAGTCGTCGGATTTGAGGTTGTCTAACCCCTAATTGACCTCTTTTCTAACTACACTGCTTCGGGTAATCAATTCGATCCCTGTTAACCATCTTAGTTTGAATTAGGTACGATCTTTAAAAATATGTGATTTCTTCCTAAATTTAATCCTCATTTTATTTTGGTTTCAATTTGAAATTCAAAGTTTCAAACTTCACATTACTGTTAGGTGGTTTTGTAATTGGTGGGATTTGTGTTTTTTTTTTTGGTGGAATTTATGTTATGTAATTTATTTTGGAGTGAGATGTTATGTAATTTGGGATATGTAACTTGGGTAATTCCTTTTGTGAGAAATGAGAATGTGAATGCTTGTAATTTGGGTTGCCAATTGTGTCATTTTAAATAAGTAAAATTGAAAAAATATTACAAATTTATGAAAAACATATATAATTTTAATTATTAAAATTGTTAAAGCTTATTATTAATATATATATATATATATATGAAAACATGCATTGTAGTGTAATTTTATCTTGGAAATATTTATCTGGATCGAAATTGCATCCATCTATGCAAATTTGACAACCGCAAGATTTTGATCCTTTTTATTTCACAAATGGAACAAACCTTTTTTATTTTTTGTCATTAAATTTTTTAAATAAATCATAAAAATTCAAATTTTATAATTTAAAATGAACAAAATAATGCAACTTTTTTTATAATTTTTTATTTTGTAATTAATGTGTTGATATAAATGTTTTAAATAATTATACTTGCTGCAATTATCCCTGGTCTACCATCACTATAACCGCAGTTCAAAAAAAGCATCACCAAAACCATGTGTATTCAAAGTTGTCAATATTTAAAAAGTAAATACTTATACATGGAGCAAAATAGAGATGGGTTTGATGGTAACGACAATAAGTTCTCGGTTCAAATCCTCAATTTCTTCTAAACAAATGAAATTTTATAAGTTGAATAGTGACAATAAAATTATTATCTGATTTTTTCATTTTTTATTTAAAGATGGGGAAGTCATTATGTGAAATATCTGAAGCTCATAGGGGCAAACCGCGTAATGTTTGCATATTTTTAGGATAACTATTATTTAATTATTTGTAAAGGACGGTGAAATAATATATATTAACTGTTCAAATTTCATAAAGTTCACCTCCGTTTATAGATAACTATTATTTAATTATTATACTTGCTGCAATTATCCCTGGTCTACCATCACCCCAGCAACACTATAACCGCAGTTCAAAAAAAGCGTCACCAAAACCGTGTGTGTTTGTTTGTTCATCAATGGTGGGTGATTTGAAAAATATTCGAATGATTCGAAATATTTAAAAGGACGTGATTTTAAGCCTCCGTTTGGGAAGTGGGTTAACTTTTTGGTTTTTTGGCTTTTTTTTGGCTATTTTAGCCTGGGTTAAAAAGTTTGGTTTGGGAAGGATTTTTTGACTTTTTGACTTTTTTGATTTTTTTTGTGAGAGAAGAGTGTAATGATTATGGGTTGGATGTGATGTTTTGTTTGTTGTGGTTAAAATAGCCTATTTTGTCTTTTGTGACTATTTTAACCCCAACCCAACTTGTCAAACACCACCTAAATATAAAACGACAATATTTTAATACATTCGAATCACATAAATTTAAACTATCAAATATTTTTCTTACTTGTTACCGAAGTGCCTCGTTTCCGCTCTCTCATCACATCATGCCTTTATCGACACCATCGTCAATGCCTTTGCCTGTTGTTTAAGTGTTTATTCTGCCCTCTCTCATTTCTCAACCACCACCCCTCTATCCCTTCCCCTATCTTTCATACCTCCACCGCTACATCTTTCTCTCGGTCGCTATTTTAAGAATTCTTGTCTCGGCTGCTATTTTAAGAAGAAAAGCTGTAAAGAGCCATTCTAATCAAAGTGCCAAATCTTATGTGACAGTAATAATTTAATTTTGTTATGAAGAATGAATGTATTCAAAGTTGTCAATATTTAAAAATGGAGCAAAATAGAGATGGGTTTGATGGTAACGACAATAAGTTCTCAGTTCAAATCCTCAATTTCTTCTAAACAAATGAAATTTTATAAGTTGAATAGTGACAATAAAATTATTATCTGATTTTTTCATTTTTTATTTAAAGATGGGGAAGTCATTATGTGAAATATCTGAAGCTCATAGGGGCAAACCGCGTAATGTTTGCATATTTTTAGGATAACTATTATTTAATTATTTGTAAAGGACGGTGAAATAATATATATTAACTGTTCAAATTTCATAAAGTTCACCTCCGTTTATGGATAACTATTATTTAATTATTTGTAAAGAAAGGTGAAATAATATATATTAACTGTTTAAATTTCATAAAGTTCACCTCCGTTTGGAAAGTGAGTTAATTTTTTGACTTTTTAATTTTTTTGTCCTGTTTGGAAAGTGGATAGACTTTTTGGCTTTTTAATTTTTTTGACTATTTTAGCCTGAGCTAAAAAGCTTAGTTTGGGAAGGGTTTTTTGACTTTTTTTTGTAAGAGAAGAGTGTAATGATTATGGGTTGAATGTGATATTTTATTTGTTGTGGCTAAAATAACTTATTTTTATCTTTTATAACTAAAATAGCCAAAAAAGCTCTGGCCAAACGGAGCCTAGGCACTCAAATTGTTCAAATTGAAGGAGTCCAAATTTTATATCAATAATACAAATGTGAATTACATTAGTGTCCTTATAGTTTAGAATTTGTATCACTTTAATTTCTGACATTTTAATTATGATATATTTGATTCTACATTTTCAATCTTATTTTAAATAAGGACAGTCGAATACACTATTGCTCCATTTCAAAAGCAAAGTTGTCAATTTGATAAAATATAAGCTAATTTGATAAAAATAAATGTCAAAAAATTATTTCTACTCACTAAAGATAAAATTATATAAAAATGATAAATCTTTTACATTTGTTTTAAAATTTTTTTACTAAATTAATTTTTAATATGTGTTTGGATGATAATCATGTAATGAGTAGTTGTTTTTGTTATTTTTTTTATGGTTATCTTGTAATAGATGGTTGTATTTATTGTTAACAGATATTTTTGGATGATTACCATGTAATGGATGATTATTTTAAGGTGTGATCAATATATTTAATATATGAAATATTTTTAGTTTTGAATTTTTTGATTTAATGAATTGGTTTAATAATGACATCAAAATTGTTGTTTGTTTAACTTTTGAAAAAATAGAAACTAATTTAATGAAAATAAATATAAAAAAAATTATTTATACCCTCCTAAAAAGATAAAATTATATAAAAATGGTGTTTTTTTTAATTTTTTTTCATCAATTTAATTTTTAATTTTTAATTTTTTAGAAAATTTTTCTGAAAATAGATTATGAAAAACCAAACAAAATAGAACTTTATAACCATGAAAGTTATAACATTATTCATTAAAGAAAAGCCATTACATTTCAAATAACATACAAGATAACTAACATAAAATAAGCTATACGACGATTTTGCCCTTGAAATGGATTGCTTGTAAAGGAAATATCTTTGATTATCTTTATTTAGAACAAGATTAAAAAATTCAGAATCAAATATATCACAATTAAAAAGTTAAAGATCAAAATAACACAAATTTCAAATTATAAAGACTGTTCATATAATTTGCACATAAAACAAAATATGCAAAAAATATAAAGAATATAAAAATATGTTTAACTTTTTTGTATGATTTTTTTGACCATTTCCAAGCGTAGTGGTGGGTGAAAAAATGATCCATTCTTCCAATTTTTTCACCCACGCTCATTTTAATGATACGATAAATAATACTAACAAATCAACTCTTTTCAAACTCTTCTCTCTATTTAAAATTATTTATCACATCATTAAAGAATTAAAAAAATAAAAATAAAAATAGAATGATATATCATTGCTAGGGGTGGGCGTGCCAGGTCAGGCTGCGTAGGCTCACAGCTGATGCATGAACCCTGCCTAATTTTCCAAAGGAGCCTATGCTTGACTCTGGTTAAGTTGGAATTGTTTTGTTCATGCATTTCGCGTTGGTTTAGACTTTCCTCTCAATTGGAGATTATTCTATTTGGGCATCGATTTGGGAAGATATTTTCTATTATTTTATTATTTTTGGGTTTGATTCCTTAACTTGATCTTTTATTTTATAATATTGATTATCTGTATTGAAGATCAAATTTGTATGGTCCTCAACTTGTAAAGTGATGTAGTGATAGTGTACGAAGGAATTAGATATCGTTGTAGTAGATGAAATAGAAATTAGATATCGTTTTAATAGATAAGAATTCTTGAATTTATAAGAACACTCCTGAATCTATAAGAAAAATCGAAGGAAAAATCTATAAAAATGCATCCATCACATATGCTTGTAGGCTTATTTAAAAGAGGAGTGATGGAGACACCCTCCAATCACCACCCCATCACCCCCCATACACATGTGGCAGGTGGTGATTGGAGGACAAGGGAAACAAAAAAGAAAAGAAAAGAAAATCCAACCAATGAGAGAAAGAGGGGGTCAAAGGGAGTGAGAAAAAAAGGGGGTCTTAGACATTAATCTGTTTAAAATAAACTAAACCTAATACTTATAGGAAAAATAATTCTAAAATAAATTAAGAAACTTAAATCAATACAAATTAGGAAACTTAAGAGAATAGGAAATTAAAATTCTAAACTATTTAAAATTATAGTCAAAATCTAATTTCAAAATAATAAAATTAAGAAATATAATAATTACAGAATTTTATTCTACATTATACTCCTCTTCTTTAAAAGAACTTGTCCTCGAGTTCTAACTAAAGATCTGCCATCTTTCATGCGAAATAAAGTGATATTTTGAATGATTCAGTTGTTTGCTCCTCTTTCAAAAGTTGTATGTAGAAAAGTTTTCTTTTTGAAAGTTCTTCTTTATATGCATCAACTGGTTGATAAGATTAATTAGACAAGTATTGAAAATCAAATTAAATTGCTCTACAATGAAGCGTATTTTACGATGTTAGATATTCTCTAGACTTTGCTCTGTCTTAAATTCAGTTGGACGTTTGTAGACACCCCATTTTTGACCGATCTTAAGACTCAGACGTCATCGATTGAGCGCTCGGTGATAACGCATGTTGTGCTCGTTTTGAGGTTTCGGAGTCTCGGCTGAGAGCCTTGCCTCCGGACTTCGGGGCTCTTTTGTGCTTTGTCTCGGTTTGCGAATCAGGTCCTGTTTTCTCTGTTTTCTCTTTCCAAATGGAAGGAGAGGTCTCGTAGACCATCTCCCAGTAGCCGTAGGCTACATTTCGTGGTCGTAGGCCACTTTTTCCCGTTTGGAGACCAGTTTCCGGTTTTCGGAGCCGTCGGTCGTG